CTTAAATGGGCTGCCGACCTCGCAGTCGGCCTGAGAGACGTTTTGATTCGCGACGCATATGATCTGCTTGTCCATCTAGGGGGAAAGGTAGAAAATATTTCAGGAGACTAAAATGGTCATTATCTTTGCCACATTTATTTTCTTTGTATTATTTTTAGTGCTGTCAGTTTAACGCGTCATTATCGGCATTAATTTAACATTTTTTCACTCGATTGCGATTAAATATTTTAATCGTTTGACAGCACTAATTATTTTATTTCTACGGTAGGCTATTTGGTAAGATTTGGCGCTCACTACAGAAGCTTTATTGAGCTTTATCTGATGTTTGGCAAGGTTCAACTTTTTCTCCAAGGCGTGCATACATCTATGCGGAGAAAAAAACGTCCATAAAATCCAAACTAGTAGGGCATTTGTTCAGCTATTTTCAGTGGTCGAAGTGGGCATAAGTACAGAAGTACGCATTTTAGTGATCCAAGTCTTTTGACACGAAGCAACTTTTCGCTTGATTTCTCCTCGCATTAAACATTTTCTTTCTTCCAAGTCACCTAGTGCGATACAACTCTTGTTGTAGGTACTGTCAGATCTTTTATAATAGCCCTTGGTTATCTACTTTACCGTGCTGCGATGTGAGCGGACGCCCGAATACGACAGCGTGTCGGGGAACGAGCCCATCAGCTTGGCTTCATAGGCATCATCGCCGTTCACGTTGCTGACGGTCAGCCGCAAAGCCAAGTCCTTCCTCTCGTAAGTCAGATGAAACACAGACACGTTGTCCCTTCTGTGGACCCACAAAGAAAGCACTTTGCATATAGCTACTGAAAACGTGTGCAGGAAATCTCATTCCTCCAAATTTCGTTTTCTGCCGCTTTTGCCACAGGTGAATTGAATGATCTGAATATTGAGAAGTTGGAAAGAGAACCGTGTGAATCTGTTATGTTGAACGTGTCATGGGAAACGAATGGTGGAGTTTCTTGTTTGTTTTTTTAGCAGTTAGACTTAAAAAAAAGAGGAGTGTGGCAAAACTCGATTTTTCAAATGAGAAAAATAATATCACGAATGGTGTGAAGTTTTGGAATATGCTGTGAAGTTGCAATGGTGACAATGGGTGGAGAAGTGTGCGCGTAGAAGCACATCAAATAGGTTAGGACAATAAAACAGGTGTAAAATAACGTGTGAGTGCTTCCAGCGGTCTCACAATAATCTTAGACATTAACTGCAAATGCATTGAAAACGGGTGTACTTAGGCAGTTATTATTTCCAAGACCACTAGAGGGAGCTCGCACACCACTAATGCAGGGGTCATTTATCTGCTCATCGTCACCGCTAGCTTGCCAAATTTAGACCAATTAAAAGAAAATGTTGAAATGTACAATATTTTGTGTATTCCTTTCTTCGCTATTCATGGTTAATTTTGTTTTTTGAAGCTGTACACTGTTGTAACGCATGACTTCCCCCTCTGAGGATTCTATCTTATTTTCAAGAGGTTCTTTCCGTTACTCACGTGGGCAAAGGCGAGTAAATGTCTTGATTGCTTTGCTTGTACAGCAATTTGTAGTCCATCATCAGGTTACTGCGACAAACATGATCACTTCCGCATCCTTCCTTGACAAAATTCACCTCCAAAAACAAATGCGATGAAGAGCGAGCTGTTAGCACGTTGACTTACTGACAAAATGAATCGTCGCTTGTACCTCAACGGTTTCTTTGTTCGACTGAGAAGAGTCCAAAATTGGCATCAGCGGCGGGAGGCCGCTCTTTGCCTTATGTCGCTTGGTACCAACTATATGTGCGGAAACCTCCATGGGAATGCTTCGCATCTTATCCTTAATGTTGTCCTGTATAAAAAAAATAAAAAAACAAAGGTGTTAAGTTATGTTTCTTTGACAAAAGAAGAAACGTGGCATGTGAAAAAACAGGGAAGGCAAATTGTGAAATTGCACAGATGATAGCAACCACTCTGGAAATATTCAAGAGATTTGAGTGTGGCTATGGGAATGTTTGTCCATTCATCCAGAGGCGCATTTGTGAGGTCAAAGGTCACTGTTTAGTGCACTGGGACATAGTCATGCGCGAAGAGGAGAAAGGGCCCTTCCGAAAATCTTCCCACGATGTCGGAAGCAGAAAACGTTTTGGCTAATGACTTAATTGTGATTCAAGAGCCTACTCCACAACTGATTAATGAACCAGTTAAGCGGGCGTGTCCTAATATTTTTGATTTTGGTTTATCCGTGGCTCAACATTTCAGATATTTTTTGGGGAACCGTTATTCGCTGAAAAACTCATTTGTTTGTTACGGCCGTTTGAGCGTTAGCATATTAATTTGTCTAGTATGCTAGCTAAAAAAAAAAAAAACCTGGGTTCATGATTGGGTGCAAAGTATGGTGTTGATGCTTTATGATCCTCTGCGTTTTCTTTTCACCTTCAACTTGGCTTTTATCTTAATGCACGTTTCCTGCTTTTGTCCTCGGAGGTCCAAGGTGCCGTTAAACTGGTGTTCTGTTTCCGAGTCAGATTTGTTCAAAAACACGACTCTCGAGACCAACCCTTGTTTCCGGCGCATTCCGTCCGCCTCCACAGAATAGCCGAGAGCTGCGGCGGAAGAGGACCAAATCAGATGCGAGACAGAAGAAGCCTTCCGCGCGGATAACAAAGTCAAAAAGATGATTGACGTACTTATTCTTGGATTGTAAGATGCGGGGTTTGCCTTGTAGCTGAAGCAAGAATCCACAGTGAAGCTAAAGACAGAAAAGAGACGTCTGCATTGTTACACTGAACGGAGTTTCCGCTATGAAACGATATTGAATGAATATTTACCAGATGTTGTTTCCACAGTTCTTTATTGTCAGGTCAATTTCCCGTGGGGAGATTTTGACATCTCGGTGGATACTAATGACTGGTCTTGCCCTGAAAAAACAATGAAATTAATTTTTTTCCCGCTTTTATGCACATGTGTAAATGATCACAAACTATGACCTAATTAATGCCATAGAATAATATTAATTATTAAGTCATGCATAACAAGAAAGTTATGTATGCATGGGGAAAAAAATGTGTCAAATCAATCAATCCCTGACCTACAGCGAAGTCAATAAATGCTCCCAAAACATATTTGCGCAAATACGGTGTCAAGTGTGGAAATACAAAACCTGTAAATGAGTGCCGAGTCTGACAGAGAGCCCACGGCGAGGTCTGGATAAGAATTGCTGTCCAGGTCCATGTTCCCTGCCAGAGAATAGCCAAACAGTCGGATGTTGTAATCTTTGCCGGAAATAATCTGGAATAAAAAAATAAAAAAAACAAAAACAACCGGAAGTAATTCAACAGTCAAAACCTGCAGGAGTTCCACGATGAAACAAAAACATGAAGCTCACGTCTACGACAACGAGACGTTATATCTGATTTATACTGGAAAAGCGAGCTGATAAATAAATCTATCACTAAGTATTCCGTACGATCTATAAATCAAATCAACCTGAGCCGGGCGTGTGTTTATTCCCTGTGCAGAACCATGATAAATGTAGACCTTTCCGGCACCGCCGTCATCATAAGGTGCTCCGATGGCGATATCTGGTCGAGGGCGGGGAACAAAAAAAAAAAAAAAAACAGTTCACGCAACAATATTCCGTGGAATAATAAAGCACATCAGCGCCCCTCGATCACCTTGATAAGAGTCTTGATTGACGTCTCCAATGTTCTCCACCGCCAGGCCAAACATGGAGTCTCTCGTCCCATTGAGACGGACGGGAGCGACGCCTCGCCATCGTCCCGCCTGGTTGATGTAAACGTAAACGGCCCCTCCGATGTCTTTGTCCTTCATGTAGAACTGGGGCGCTCCCACGACTATGTCCTGCCATCTGGGTCAAACAGACACGAGATCAGCGTTTTCGTACGTGACGACGGCTGCACGGCACACGCTTGACGGTAGCGCGCGTGTCGGTTGCTTAGCGACCAAACAGAAAGTAGCCTGGTGCCTTTTGCCGTTGGTTTGGAGGCAAGGAAGCCCGTCGCTTGGCAATATGTATTTGGCGCTGTGACAAATGAAAAGCCCTTTCCTAATAATTCGGAGGAGGAGACAATTAAGCTATGTTGTATTTTAATTACGCTCGCATTGTTCAAAATGGCGTCATGTACATTCAAAATAGTGGAGATCTCCGTCACCGTGCCTTTTGGAGCAAGTCACAGTCCGCCACCTGTGTTGTGTCCCAGAGCTCAGAACACTGTGACACGGCATGAATTGATGATTCCTCAATTTCCCCTTTCTTTATTTTCTCTGCCGATTTTTACGGTAGAACTCCACCGCCTCCTTAAGTACAAGTTTTGCTCAATTCATTTCAATTATATTGAAGAAAATCATTTTTAAAAAATTATACGAACGCTCACAAGTTTGTGTCATCGTTACAGTTCAGGTCAGCTGTTGTCAATCACTTTTTCTGACACCCAGGAGTAACCCGACGCGTATTATTTACAAACATTCTGAAATGGTCTTTTCATATTGGCAGATGAATGAGAAAGTGCAACACACCCATCCCCATTTAGGTCTGTTACGGCCACATCGTATCCAAAAGAGGACGCCAGCCCGGGCCCGTGCAGGGTGTGGTCCACTGCAAGTCGGTTCGAGCCTTGTTTCTCTTTCCTCAGCAGCAGCACGGCTCCGCTGTGATTGGCTCTGGGCGCGCCAGCCACCACCGTTAAGCCACGCCTCCTGGTGATGCTGTGTCCAGAGTCCAGAGAGAATCCTAAATGTAAGAATTCACAAGAATCGTTGACAGTTCGTTTAAAGTCTAGATTACTCCTTGTTCCTGTTTATATCCAGCGGTTACGATCCCGGGAACATAACTCTCCTCAAGCGGCAAGCGAAGCAGTTGTTTCGTGTCTCACCGAGGTAGCTGTTGGCAGGTACAGGTACGAGCTCTGGGTTCAAGACCAGCTCATCGCCCACTTCATAAGGCCCGTCGTCATACACGCCCATCTCCAACAGGGTGTTGTTTTTTTGCTCCACCCGTACGATGCCTGATGGGGAGAAAAAGGCAATAAATCTCACACACACACTCACACATACGCCCAACGGCGTGACCATTAGCATTTCAAAGGCGTCCTTTTCAGACCTTTCCAGTTGTACGCTCCAGGCGCTCCGAACACCAGGTAATGGTAGTCCTTGGTGAAAGTGGCGGCGAGACCCTGCTGACACGACCCGAACATCTCGTGTCCTCTGGCCCTGCCCTCGCAGAAGTTCCAGTTGCCGCCGTCCTCGTCCGACGACTCGTCGATGGTCAGGTCTTGGCTCAGGACGTAGCAGCGGCCGGTGATGTCACGGGCCTCCTGGGGCGTGTTCACAAACATGCGCCTTTGGTAGCGGTGAGCGCACGTCTGAAGCACAAGATTTTCGCTGTTGCAGTCACTGCCATTGATTTCGCGGTTCGTTTCACAGGAGTGTTTTTTTTTTGGGGGGCGTCGTCGTTACAGGTAGCGCAGTGAAGAGTTTTGACAGACTGATTTAGGACAAAAAAAGAATACCGAGCAGAAGCAGCTGTAATAGCCTCCAATGAGGAGTCTACTCGGCAAAAGGGACGGATTCATAATCCTCAATACGATACTTACCACAATCTTTCCCCCAGGTCCTTGACTCTGTACCGTGACCCCCATCCACTGGTTCTCCTTGTTCTCAACTTGGATATCCTCTTTCAAAGTTGAGACAAAAGTTAAAAGTCACGGCATGGAAATCGGATACACAAGAGGAACTTTAATTAACACAATAAAAAAGGGCATCGCTGGGTTTCCTACAAACACGATTGGGTGGGATGTGGAAAAATGAGCCACTGGTCGGGCACAGTGTCTCACCTAGCTGACTTTCATGCTGTTCCCACTTTGAGCCAAATTCAAAGTCGCCCTCTAATTCCCAGACAAGTCCAAGGATACAGACTGGCTTTTTGCCTTGAACGTACAGTACAGTTGTATGGAGATACGCTACGTATTCTTACCTTCGCTGTCAAATAAAACACGCTCACAATCAGGAGAGAAGTTCATGTCACATTTATAAAGTCCTCCAGTGATGTTGGCATTTTGTTTCCCCAAAGCTCTGGCTCGGGGGGCACCAATCAACAACCTGAGAAAAAAAAATAAAATAAAAATAAAACGTGTTCTAATTTCAGTCATCACACAGAAACAACATAGTAACCATTGCGTTTTATTTGGTTGTGAGCACCACAAGCTCGGGTAAACGAAAGGGTTCAAAGGACCCTTTTATCGGTCGATCGTCAGATTTGAAGCTCGTTCAGTGACAGTTGTGCCAAATCTTTTGTTTTCCGGATAGCGCTTCTCGTGGAGAATGCGGGCTATTTGCAGAGCGCCCCAGGGGGGGAAGGTTGCCGCCTGCCAATACGATGACACAATCAGCAGACAACATCTATAGGGTCTTTTACTACATTTCTCTTGAACAGCCACACACACATAATGACATAGTGGGGATATAACAAATCGACACACCCCCTCTTCAAATGACAGATTTGATGTCATAAAATGTAAGATTGGTCTCATTTCTTAACATCTCACCAAAAAAAAAAAAAAAAAAAAAAAACATTTCGACAGGGACATTTCTGCACTAAAAGGCGCACCTAAAAGCCTTCCATTTTCTTAAAAGTTCTCAGCGCGCCTTAAAATCCGATGCGCTTTTTGTATGGTCACTACGATAATATGTCGACCCCAAAATGGCTCCTTGCCCGAGACATGCTGACAACGCAGAGTTCAAACTTAAGGCGATCGGTTACGCAGTTGAACACGGAAACAGAGCAGCGGCAAGAGAGTTCAACATTAACGAGTCAATGTTATAAATTGCTGTTGGTTAAGTGAACTGTGTCGCTGCTTTATTCAATCAGTTTTACTGACATCTGATCGTCGCTATATAAATCAGGGTGTAGTGTAGTGTTCTGTTGGCATTTCCTTGAGCGTAGCTCTATCTAGTGGATGCATTGTAGATTGCGTCTTATAATGACCTCCCACTGAATATTCGGCAAGCCTCCTCCCTGCCCATCTTTAAAACCCGCCTCAAAACTCACTTGTATTCGTTGGCATTTGACTCAGCATGACTCAGATTTGTTCTTGGTTTTGCTGTTCGGTGCTTTCTACCGTCTTTGTTACCGATTTGTTGCTTTACTGTTGTATATGTTCGTTGTTCCATGTACAGCACTTTGTATGCAGCGCTGGCTGTTTGAAAGTGCTCTATAAATACAGTTGAGTTGAGCTGAGTTATAATGCGGTGTGTGCAATATATGAAAAGAATTAAAAAATAAGCCGTTCATTGAAGGTGCGCCTCATAATCCGGTGCGACTTTTAGCGTGGAAAATACGGTGTGTGAACAAGAGTTGCGCCGCCACTCTGCAAAATGTAATCAAACACTCCGAGAGAACATATGGAAGGTGAAACGGCACACCACAACACCTTCCTGTGGGTTTGCGTTCCAGTTTCTGCGTGTTTCTCGGTGTACGTGTGCTTTGACCCTCAATCGAAGCGGTTGGGGATTTTTTTTTCATCAGCTTTAATACGTAACCCATATCGGTTTATGGGTTAGTGGGCCCAACCAGTATTTAGTGCAATCGCTCTTTACGAAACTCCAGAAACACCAGGCTAGAACAAACTGAACGGGGAGTGCTGTGAAATCAGCAACAACTTTCACTGATCTTACAAAGTCGGTCCTCAATGTGTGTCAGTGAAGGAAAAAATAAAAACACATTTTTGATAAGCCGGTATTTATTTTGTCTGTGAATATTTTCATTTAAATGCGAGTAGTCTTGGCAACAAACTTAATCTTTTATGACTTGGAAACACCAACGCAGCAACTCCTCCGCACAACAAGTTCAAGGACAATCTCATGTGCTGTAGAACCAACACAGATGAACAACATGTGGGAGGATTTTGACAAAGTAAGCTCCTCGATATCGCTATACCACCGTGAGGGTAAACAACAAGTGCAGAGGCACAATCGTAATCGAAAGCTGCTCTAGAATGTGGGCACTGCCCATAACGGCAAGAATTTCCTTAAGGGGACCAGAAAGGAAATCCTGTCGAGCTTTTCAAGTCTTCCCCGACAGGATTTTTAGATTCTATTGATCTTCTAGACCGGCCCTGCTGCTCTCCGTTTGCCCCAACAAGGACGCAACTCATGGGGAGGTCTGATGGAGAGACCCAAGAGCAAACTGCAAAGCCTGCGCTCAAACAAAAGACCGGCCACGTGCAAATACAAACAGGAGCTTTTTACAAAGTTAGCCCAAATGTTGTTGACATTTCAGCACCTGAACTGCAGCTGCTGAGTTGCGCACCCCCCGACACCCCCATGTGCTGTGGAATACTACAAGGAGAATTCTATTGGAGCATAACTTACATTTACATACCGATAACACCAAAAAGATGACGGTGCCCCGGTGGTACAAATCACGGGGCCCCACACTGGCTTACTCAAGAGCGATACAAGATGCGGGAAAAACTGCATCAGTGTTACAATTGTAAAGCAGAAGCCCTGGGAAAAGATGTAGAATTTAGCAAGTAACTGAGGGTTAATATTGACATTTACATGCAACACGGCCTTCTGGTTGACGAGTGAAGCAGCGGATTGCTCGACTACATTTTATTTTATTTAATTATTTTGCTGCAACAGCAAATGTTGAGACGATGTTAGCCTGATTTTTACCTACGCTAAAATCTGCTTTTGCAAAGAAAAAAAGTTTCCCCCATGACAGATTACAATGACTAACATAAAAAAAATGTATATATATAATCAAGTAAAATAATAAAGCAATTTTTGGGGGGGATTACAGTCGTTGAAGAATATGTTGATTATTATTACAGAACAGCATCATTCCGAGATTTATTTATTTTATTATTCTATTTTTTTTTTTTTTTTACAATATTTTGGTCCTCATTTATCCGAGTTTTTGAATTGGATGGAAGTGCACCAGACAGATTTAAGCTACTGCTATTAGCCTCCATTCATTGTTTGTTTGTTTGTTGGTTTTTTTTTTTGCATAACATACATACATGTCTACGACTCAAAAGAAAGAATGCTTTCATGCTCAGCTGATCAGTTGAAAACATATTTCCTTCTCAACCATTTTTGTGTGCAGTTACAGTCTTCCCTTGCCAATCATCTAACGTTATCATTCTTTGCTACGTTCACTGAGTTTGTTTTTTTTTTCCTTTATGGCTGAACTTTGTTTTAAACACTGGTGTGAATTGAAAAACATATTTTGATGGACTCTTGGGCAAAGATAGTTTTTGTCCTGAACTAATATATGGAGCAAAGTTGTTCATATCGTGACAACAAGTGAACCGCACACACACCCCCGCCCATCATGTTACCTATCTGTCTGTCACTGCGGTGCGAGAGCGGAACACACAGTGCCTGCAAACAACGATTGTGCCGCAGTGGTGGCACAGCTGTGCACGGAAGTGCAGCTGCTCTTCCTCATTCACATAACAAACAACTGAGCCACCTTATGTGCGGTAACGATCACAACTTTTGAGTCGCCGCGTGTCAGTTTATGCCCCCTTTCGAAATGACACAAAGTTAAAACAAAACAGCCCAACTTGACCAGTTAGTCAGAATGGAATCTCTTGACTGATGATGAGTCATTTGTGTTTAATCTATCAGGTTACACATGTGCAGATGGCCATGCCTAGCCGGTCAATTGAGCCAGTTTTCTCATCTTACGCTAACTGAACCAACCCCTCAATTCTACTTTTTGTATTTGTTCAGGGTTGTCAAACTCATTTTTGTCACGGGCCATAACTACAAGTGTGTGAGAATGCTAAAAAGATGGCACCAGAATGCGAAGATCCGGACAATAATCCTGATGAACACATAAAAGCATATCCTAACACATGCAGATATGGCCCACGAGGATGAGAGGCGTAGACAGTCATTATTAGTCTTTGTGAAATCACACGCAGTGTTTGGCTCTCAGCATTCAAACAATGCAAATCGTTAAGAGGCCGATTATTTGCGCTTCGCTGCGTGCTTGCCGATCATTTTTCGCCCGTTTTGTCACAAAGCTAAACACAAGTCTCTTGCTCCGAAGAACGAAGCAAGGGAGCGCACATCCGCTCTTCTTCATGAGCTCATGTGACTCGGCGGCTAATTAACCCAACAAGTCAAGTGAAAGCTCACTGAGCGCATACCCAGCTAATGAACAGCTGACCACTTCCAGCTGTGAAGCGCCACGCTGAAGCAACAGTAAAAAGTTCAACAGTCGTTTTTAGTCATCTGAAGTGAAGTCTTCAGGGTGTATTTATCTCCTTCTTATTGCACAAGTCAGCTAGTCTAACCATAGCTGACTTTCTGCAAAGGGTGGGTGACACCATTGACTAGTTACCGGCCAATCACAGGGCACATATCGATAAACAATCATTCACACTCATGATCATTATTTACTTTTAAGTATTCAAACGTTTTGTGAGATTTTTGTTTGTTTGGTAGTGTTATGTGACATTTTTCGAATGCTCAGTGGGTGCCTTGGCTCAAGACAGGATGAGAAATATTGACCTGTAACAAAGATGGACCTGGCGGGACACCCCACAAGTTGGGTTAGCACTAGCATGAGTGCTCATGTGTAACACGGGAAGGAACATAGATGCTCCCATAAAGGATATCCATCTTGAGATTCCCAACACGTGACCATTAATCTCATTATCCAACAGCTCATCATTTTTAAACAAAATGGTCTTTAACCAGTGATGGGGAAGTCCCATTAGCTTAAAGCTAAGAAACGAAATGCTACTGGTATGCTAACAGTTAGCATTGTTAAATAGTTACGGTTTAGGAAGCAATGACTATTTGAATATGTAGATGGGCAATTAAACAATATTCACGAGCACATATTTATTATCATCGACAAAAAATGACTTACATTATAGCATCTTTGTGAGTCACTTACAATAAGAGTAGAAGACGTAATGTACTGTTGTTTGCTTGTGTCTCAATGACTGTAGAATTATATGTCACCCCCAGCGGCCAAGGCTGGCACAACAGGAATTATACGAAGTTAAGGCATTACGTTACTCTGAGTGCTATTTTCTTGATGAAAAGACAGAAGCACAAAAACAAATGGTGGGTGGGGGACAGATTATTGGTATTGCCATTCATTTCAATGGGCAAATATGACACAATTGGTCATGAAATGAATTAAAGTCATATGTTAAGGAAATACTGTATTGTATATCTATATCTGAGAGTCATTATTTCAATGACATTTATTCACTGATTGGAAATCATATTAATGGTGCTCTTACTAAATAGAATTCCTCGCCGTCTAAAATTCAGGCCGCCAACACAACGCATGCTAAAAAAAACTGCCCCCCGAAAAAAAAAGAGCATCTCTCAAAGCTTGCATCCTGCATGAGCTGCTGTTGCCCACCACAGTCAAAACAGCAGCAGAGATAAAATTCCACAGGTTGTAATCTTTGTGAAATCTCAGTGCCTGTCGTTATCAGGGCTTGTCGTCCTAGCCGCCTCCGCTCGCGCTGCTGCAGGGTCAGCATGCGTGCAGGCTCACGCTTGATGCAAGCTTCGGCAAGCCGACCCTCTTGCCCCCATCTCCAACCCTCAAGGTTCTGCTAAAGGAAGGTGAGGAGATGATAATAGTCCCTCAAATAAGGTTAAGCAGAATTTAAACAGCTTTATTTCTGCTGCCTCAGACTTGGATTAAACGGCAAACAAGCGTGAAATCGACACTTCAAAATACAAATGAATATGTGTGGCCTAAAGCATACATTGCACCCAAAATACTATATCACTTGTGACATCAAATTCCATTCATTAATTTTTGTTCAATTAATGGCCTTATTTTGGTTTAACTCTTGTTTATATTGTGTGTAATTCCACTAGATGGTGGCACACTAGACTGTAAATTGAAAGAAGAGGAACAAAGCAGCACAGCCTGGATTTTATTGAAAATTAAATGCGCCTGTAGCAATCTACACACATGAACACAGTACATATGAAAATTTGCATCTCTGGTGAGTATAATATAAATTAAATTCATTCCATGACCAAACTAACTTGCAAAACATTTGTGTCATATCCCAAATTATATCCCACCATTTAAATGAAAGGAAAAGCAATTCATCCGTTCTAGCGCCCCCCCCCCCAAACAAATACACGGCTTGCCACTACCTTAGAGAGACTCATTCTGAAATAACTGTAACACGGGAGCATTTTACAAAATTAATCTACTCATTCTCTACCGTTTCAATTAAACAATGACAAACAAGCCTTAAATTGACACATTTCAAATATGTGTGTGGAGAAAAGTTGCAAGCTCATCCTCCAGAGGCCACCCGGCTTGACCTTACATCACATTTGCATGACACTTGTCACCCTTATTTGTTCACTTGTCTTCCGCCTGCATGTGTCTCAGTTCACATGCATACATCACAATAACACGGTGTTAAAAACACACAATGGAAAGTACTTTTTAGGCGACACCAATTATTTGAATCGTTATTTGAAAAGGGGAAATATGCATCATGCTGTACCAATGTTGTAAATGGGCAAAGTGAGAATGATGACAATGCTCCACTTTTTTTTTTAATTTCAAGTACTGTACATTCCGACGAGAAAGAGATTACAGACTCACATTCGTTTGTCCGGGTTGAGCTGCCAGTGCATAGCGAGAGAGAATCCGAACAGACTGCCGGGCTCTCCGTCTTTCCTGATCACATGGTTGGTGTCCAGGTTGAAGGCCAACGCAAAAGGTGCGTTCAAAAGGGAGAAAAGTGCCACGCAAACGCCACCTCGCAGCAGCATACCGGTGTGTGTTTTTGGTGCAAAGTTTCAGAAACTCAATCCCTTCTGTGCTCTCTGGCCAGCCGACACGGAGACACTGGAAGCCGCCGCGGGTTGATTGCCCTTAGGGTCCTGGGGAGGTGATCCATAGCGCCCTCTTTTGCCAAACTATGGTACGACAACAAAGGAGTGACCCGAGTATGTACACAGACGTCTGCTGCATAAAACCAACAAAAGAGTGGTTAAAACGAAAAAAATACTTCAAGATTGTTTTTTGAGGGGGAAAAAATTCAAAAGAATCTGAAAATACAGAGAATTGACGTTTTAAGGGGAGACTGCAAACAGACAGGCACATACAGTTGGTCAACTCAGCTGTACAAATAAACTAACTCATTTGACGCCAAACTGGGGGCAGAATCATTTGCAGTCTGTTGAAAGGATTGTGATTGAAGTCATGTACTGTAAACTCAGGTTTCCGGAATTGATTTGAACTGTTGCATTATTGATGCAATGATCATCAGACTGAGGGAAAATGCATCAATTATGAACGTGCAACCTCACCGCTTGCACCTGCCATCTTGATTAATAAGTCATTAAGTGTTTTTCAGTTTCACGAAACACCGATTTTGGTGATGTTTACGGGACAACTACAAAATGGATGGAGGGAGGATCCGTCATTATTTCATTATCCATCAGTAAAATTGATCTGAGCTCTTTTGTGGCCTGCAGCAAACTTTGAATCATTGTGCTCATTTTTTTCTGACTCTTGTCTGTTGAAATTTGATGGCTACGTGAACTTTAAGCGATCCAGGCCATGACGTTACACAAAGTGGCTATTGTCAGCCAATGTGTGTGTGTGTGTGTGTGTGTGTGTGTGTGTGTGTGCGTGTGCGTGTTTCAGTAGGAGCCGAACCACATCCCTAATTACGGCTAATGAGTCTGCTAGCTCTCGTGTGAAATGTTTGAATGGCATCTCTTGTTGTGGTGCATTTCCTCATCGGTGCATCACACTTCAACACATCACAGGCCCCTTTAACGACGCCATGATCTGATTGTATGACTACTTTGTGGACTCGTGACTCACTCGTGATAAATATCTGCCTTTAAACATTCATCATTTTCAAAGACAGCAAGCCCAACACCTATTTAATGTGTACAATTACACATGTCTATTTGACGGCTTTTCACTTGATTGAAGTCACTATATGTCTAGTTTTCCATGAATATCCATCAATTTTCAGATCACTAAATGAACGTAATTTGCTACTATAGTGTCTATTAACATATAGCTTTATTCTTGACTTGAATTTGCTCATTAAGATCCCCACAAGCAATTGCTACACTTATTCTCTTAGTAGAAATAACCAAATCTTTATAACAGTTATTCTTGTTTGTTTTTTTGTGCGCTTCATTGCATTTATCACACTCAATTTCTCATGTTAATTATATAATTTTGTTAAATCCCTGTAATGTGAAAATAAATATGCCATGAAGCTGACCCTGCTAATTTTTAATGATCAACGAGGCACTCTAATGCGGCTACCCCAGTGCAAAGCTCCTATTCACCAGCTTTCTGTATTGTCTGACTTGAAAAAAAAAATTCTGCTCACTTCCTCCTTCTCTCTGTGAAATGTGTGCACTCATAGCCAACAACGAGGCACTCTAAAGCAGCCATGCCAACACGAAGTGACCATCCAGACGCTGGCTGTCACGCCTGACTTCAAAATCAAGACATTGAGTTTCCACGACTCATTATTTCTTCCTTTCTATGCATAATATCTGTGCATCCACTGCAAACAATGAGGCACTCTAAACGGGCCACACCAGCAGACTATCTGAAGGCGAGGCGCCTTTTCAAGGTGTAGGCATAGTGAACTAGCTTAATGCAAAGTGTAAATGCGTTGGATAGCTAGTGATCTAAATGGGGGCCCTCAACTTAGCCACGCCCAAAAAAGAAAACTGAAATTATCATTATGATGCACCAGTGCAGGAATGATACACAAAATATGAAAGAGGAGCTGACGGGCTTATTCGGCATTGCGTCATCTCCTCTCGTAGTGGCTTGGGTGAAAATGTGACTTTTTGGGTTTGTTTGAAGTGCAGCTTTAACAGGTGCAGTCTGTTGTGGCCCAGTAAATAACTGTTTCGTGTTTCAGCCTTTGATCTGAGTAGCAAGCGGATATGAAAAGCTGGTCAAATATTTTGTTCTGCCATGCTGTTTGTTCTATTTCCGGAAAGAGGACATAGGATGAATGTGCAGACAGGACAATATCTTGACAGGAACTTACACAAGAACGATGAGCGTCAGGCTGCCTCAAAAAGCAGATTCAATCTGTCATCGCAAAATAGCATCGTAAGCGTTTAGTTTTACTTCCTGGCCACCACGTGACAAAACATTTCTGCAAGTTTGTATTTGTACTTTACATTGATATCGAATTGCACCGACTCATACCGAGAGCTGTTTCTTATCATCCAGATTGTTGAGGAACTTCATGCTGCTGCTTGTGTTTTGTGTTTTGGCAATGCCTTGGTGTGTCTGTGACCAAAGAGAAGTAGAAGTGGTTTCACCTGAGTTCAAGCCACCACACAAAAGAACACTTTCATGCGCATTCTGGCCAAAGGCATTCGGCGTAACAGGAGCTGGGTCGGGAGGGTTCTATTGTGTCATGGGGGGGTGAGAGGGGATCGATGGTCGATCAGGTGACCGCCTGCAGGTGGCGAGAGCTTTCTTCTCAAATTAGCAGCTTGGTTTGTTGGAGTCAAGTGAATCCTTCTCAAGTCGCTGTGTGGTCTCAAACAGTCACAATGGCCGTGAAACACCTTTTCAAGTATGACATACACGCACGGAATTCCCGTGACATATTTCTCATAACAGGTGACTTTGTATTAACACGAAAAATAGATAACAAAACCAAATTCCTCGTCACTGGGGAAGGAACTTGCACCGGGATGACTTTTGGGTTCAGCTACCTGTATTGGATAGCGTTGCAAATGAATACAGTTCTCAAACTGACAAGAAGGCCGCCACATGGGTTACAAGGAGTTGAGTGGATGGAAATATTTAATATCTAAGATGTCTTTTGGCTGCCTTGGGCTGTCATAGAAGAATGTAGGGGGATGGATGGATGGATGGATGGATGGATGGGGGGATGGATGGATGGATGGATGGATGGATGGATGGATGGATGGATGGATGGATGGATGGATGGATGGATGGATGGATGGATGGATGGAAGAATAGAATAGGAGGCGAGAATGAACCAAGGGGCATCTGAAGGACCAGACGGACATTAAACAATGCAGCTGGATGGATGGATGGATGGATGGATGGACATCAAACAATGCAGTGAGAGATGGATGAAGTGGAGGAAGGGAATGAAGCGGAGTGAGCAAGGACATTTAAGGAATGGCTAGATACAATGACGGACACACAAAAGGGACGAGAAGGAACTGGAGGAAGACGGAGAGTGATGAAGAGAGCGAATGATCAAGAGAGACGGACAGAGGAAGCGCTAGATGAAGACAGATAGGGGTCTAAATGAAGGGCGATGGAGAGATAAAGAGAGAGAGACTGAGTAATAGAAAGCGATAGCAATAAAGAGAGAGAGGGAGGGAGAGGGAGGGACAGAGAAAGAGCGAGAAACAGACAAAGAGAGAGAAAGAGAGACAGTGAGAAAGATAAAAAGAGCCAGATAGAGAGTTATATGAAGACAATAGGGTGATGGATGGATGGAACGATGATCGAGAAATAGAGAGACACAGAGAGAAAGATTGATAGTAAGAGACGAATAAAAGTACAGTATGTCAAAGGGTGGATAGAGGGATGAATGGATGGATAAGTGGATAGAGAGATACAGAGATGCAGCTATAGCGAGTGATGGATAAAGAGAGAGAGAGAGAGAGAGAGAGAGAGAGAGAGAGAGAGAGAGAGAGAGAGAGAAAGAGGGGGATAAAACA